GTGTGTGTGCAAGGGTGCACTTTTGCAGTCATGACTTCAGGACCCAGGTCCGCAGAGAGAGATACTATATTTCCAACAGAGGCTTTTATATTCTAGGGGCGTGCAAGCATCCCTAATTACAGGTAACCACATATGTAACAAAGTGCATTGTACCCTAACCCTAAAGGTCCCTGAGTACAATTGAGAGGTAACTGTGATTGGGACTCATCTAAATCCTTGTTTTCCAACACTTTTGAAGAGGCCACTTACAGATTTACCAAATGCAACACAACCTTCACTCCTGCTTGCATGAGGGCTGATTTTGGAGCCAAGCAAGATAAACTCCTTGGCAACTTCAATCTTTTCTCTGTCATGATGCTACCTATTGAGCCAGTGTGAGAATTTTTGTTTTAGGTACTACTAAAAGTAGTACACCAAGAATGATGAATATTGCAAATGGTTAAGCAACTTACCTGTTAATCAAGAAAACTTGAAAGTATGAGCCTATTGAGGGGCACTTCAAAACATACATCTGGTGATGTTCTTCTAAAAAAATCAAGTCATAACAATTCCTTGGAAACATTGTCTAATATTGTTAAACAATGTCTAATATTTTTAACTCAAAACTTCTCATTAAACTCACTGTACCAATTATTCTATGGCTACTTCACCTAATGTAAATACCGCATCGTTTGACTAGATTAGCTGGACTGTCAAGATTCCATTTAACTATAACTCAATGAAAGTAATACCCTCTCCAAGAAGGTATAGACTTTTTCTTTCCATACGTCACTGTATCATCATTTCCTGGAGAGAGCCAAATACAAAGGCAGCATGTGACAAATTTTTGTTACAATATTGAATAGATTTAATGCAATGGTATTGTTTCATAGATCCCTCTACCTAATATCAAGTTCTAAAATTTTATCTTAGACATTCCTATAAGCTATAGATTCCTTTTTTTCTGATCTGGGGAAATAAAACTAATAAATACATGAACCCAAATGCACCAATTCAACATTTCCCATTCAATTTCTCTCTTAAGTGATATTTTATTTGGCGCACATGTGAAACAACTTGACAGAAGTATAAAACAGCCATATTCCTGATACTGGTCTTTTTTGTTTCAAAAATTCACAGTACTTATTTCATCCACTGGCATGAACTCAGATTTTCATTCATTTAATTGATACAAAAGAGCAATCAATGTGTATGCATTTGGTTTAACATCAGATTATATCTCAGTATCACTGCACGTATGTACAATGAGCATACCAGACATACTCAGTTCCTTTATATGATTGCTGATAAAACACTTTGTAGTTACAAAATGAAGTAGAAAGTAGTTTGAATCACAAGCCCTGTGCATGTATCTAAGCTTAGATTATGGGTTTTGTGGGACATAAAAGAAGATGTAATGGGTCCCTGAAGGCACTAGCACACTGACCGCATTCATAGGCAGTACCACATTCACTGTATGCAAAAGATTCCTCTGTTGTATTTCTCTGTTCTCTCCTGATGGCTCACTTTTGGCAATGGGCTGTCCCATAAGGATCATGTTCCTATTTGGTAAAAGCCCATGCATGTTCAATGAAGTCTGAGCTACCACAGGAGGGACTTGCATAGTTAGCATATTAATAGTACTTTTGATCTGCTTGAGATCACTAGTATTTGATGACCTGTGATTCACTGTGGAAGAGTCTTTCACTGTACTTGAATCTACACATTTATCTTTTGTGTTTTGTGGAACAAGGCTAAACACACAAGGGAATGTCTTTTCACAACCATTGCTTTGAAAGGGTTTTCCTTCTGTGTGACTTTTCTGATGTTCAACGAGACTTGACCTCAGGGAATAAGATTGTCCACAGACATTGCAGGCAAAGGGAGCCATCCCTACGTGGAATCTCTCATGTGCTATGAGATGTGACTTTTTTTTGAAGCCTTTCCCACACTCACCACATATATTTGACTTCTCCCCAGCATGAGTTCGCTGATGAATAAGAAGATTTCCTTTATGGATGAAACCTTTTCCACACTCGCTACATATGTAGGGTTTCTCTCCAGTATGAATTCGCTGGTGAATAATGAGACTCCCCTTCTGGATGAAGCTTTTCCCGCATTCACCACATTCATAAGGTTTCTCTCCAGTATGAATTTGCTGATGAATAGTGAGGTTTCTCTTCCTGGTGAAGGCTTTGCCACACTCATTGCATATGTAGAGTTTCTCTCCAGTATGAGTTCGCTGGTGAATAACATAATCTCTCTTTTGTAGGAAACCTTTCCCACATTCAGTGCATATGTGTGGCTTCTCTCTACTATGAATTCGTTGATGCATAAGGAGATACTGCTTCCGGATAAAACCTATTCCACATTCACTGCACGAATAGGGTTTCTCTCCTGTATGAATTCGTTGATGAATAATAAGATTCCCTTTCTGACTGAAGCCTTTTCCACATTCACTACATACAAAGGGTTTCTCTCCAGTATGACTCTGCTGATGAATGATGAACTCTCCCTTTTTTATGAAGCCTTTCTCACATTCAATGCATATGTAGGGTTTTTCTCCAGAATGACTTCGCTGATGAGTAATGAGGTTTCCTCTGCGCATGAAGACTTTTCCACATTCTCCACATGTATAGGGCCTGTCTCCAGCATGAATTCGCTGATGAATAATGAGGTTTCCTTTATGGATGAAGCCTTTTCCACATTCACTACATTTGTAGGGTTTTTCTCCAGAATGAGTTCGCTGATGCATATTGAGCCGTGATTTCTTGAGAAAGGCTTTCCCACATTCTGTGCATTGAAAAGGTTTTTCCCCTCTGTGTGTCCTCCGAAGATGTTGAGTGAGCTGAAACTGTCTGGAGAAGGCTTCCCCACACAAAGAACATCTATGAGGTTTCACTCCTGTATGAGTGATCTGGTGATTCATGAGCCAAGAATTCCTGGTGAAGGTTTTCCCACACTCACTGCATACATGTGGTTTCTTTATTTTGTGAATGTTGTGATGCTTAACAAGTTGAGATTGAGTGCTACTGGATTTTCCACTCTCAAGGAATTTTATTTCAGGATGAAATGGATCATGATTAGTATGAAGAAAGGTTTTCTCATCTCTATTAAACGCAGCAGAGTTCTTTACTTCATAGCTTCTGTTCTTGTTAATTAACGTTAAATTTGTTTTCACAGATTTTTCATCTAAGTCAAATACGCCAAGGTTCTGCCTTAAAGGAATATGACTTTTGTACTGAGAAGAAATATTTTCACAGGCTTTATGTTCAATGCATTGTTCCATTCTGTTCACTCTGCTATCATATTGCTTGTGCCTAGGCAGATGCTCAACAACGCTCTGGATTTCTACAAAAGAAGAGAATACTGAATCCATCCACCATCTCAAACAGCAATAAAAGCGATTTTAAAATGCTTTGATGTACGATGGCTTTTTAGTGACAAACCTATGATGTAAGAGTAAATTAAAAATCCAACCTTAATGTTGGTTAAAAAAAAAGACACTGTACAATAAGTAATCCAAAAAGTAAAAGTAGATAGTAGAGACAAGGATAGATAACAATCATGGAGAGACATAAAGTAGCTGCACAATGATGACCTAACGTGTGCCACAGCATGGATGAACTTAGAAAACTGTGCAAATTGATAGAGAGCAGTCACTAAAAAGCAAACTTGAGGAGCACTGGTGGCAATTTCATGTCAAACTTTGACTACTAACTGCAGGGCTAGCAGTTCAAACCCACCAGTGGCTCAACAGGACAAAGATGAGGCTCTCTGCTCCCACAGAGATTTACAAAGCCTCACAAACCCTATATAGAGTCGCTATTACAGGGAATCGACTTGATGACAGTGGATCTGGCAAAGGGCAAATACGATCTGATCTTACGTGCATTAAATAATCAAAGTTATCAGTCGTTACCAATGCATGGTTGTGGTAGTGGGATAATTTGAAAAAAGATATGAGAATGGTGGTACAAAATGAAGAACGTAATCAATGTCACAAATAGCAAGTCACCAAATTTTCACATTGTGCTATATGTTTTGTCGTGTATATTTCCACAATAAAGAAAAGCTTGGGGGAACTGTGAAACGTGGTTTGAAAAAGATGGTGGAGCGAAGAGGAGAAAATGAGGATATAACTTGAAAGGATGGCTCCTTGACAGGTTTAGAGTTGCTAGGTTGTAGAGTCAGCATTAATTAATAAAAGTTAACAATAATGTTTCCAAGAAGTAATTGGACTTAACTATGGGCTGGTGTTGTCTTTTAGTGATGTGAGGAATATTACTGAAGAATAAAATAATGTATCAAACGTTTTTTAGCATATCCGCTTTAGGGTGGTTATGATATATATCCAACTACTAAAATGAAGACTTTACAATGCTGTCTAGATCTTGCAAAACTTTTTGACTGGAGGTAATGAATGGGCATGCAAATTTATGATTTAAGGCCAAAGTACAGAATAAATCCGTGTTCGGATAAAATGTACATTAAAATAAAGTGAACACCAAAGCTTTTAATCATTTACCCATTTAGAGCTTTGGAACTGAATTCGTTTCTATAAAGTTTGTCACTTTGGACCAGGTTGACATTTCCAGGATAAGCAATAAACAATTGGCTTGTCCTTTACTGGATTGAAGCCTTGCTGTGATTGGTCAATTGATGCACCCCGCAGAGATTAGTTAATATACTATAGACAAGTGAAATGACAAAAGACTATGCAAAAGAAGTGGGTGTGGTACACTGAGGAGACTGGCCAGCTGTTGGTCCTGGGGGAGGCCATGACAAGTTTACTCATGGATGTAGCTGGCCACAGTTTTCAGAAAGAAGAGAAAAGGCAGGAGAAGCAAAAAGAAGCGAAGGGAGCGTTGCCAAAGAACTTCCTAAAAGGATGTTAGCACTGAAAAGTGAGAGATTGTAAGAGACAACTCAGCAGCAACAGGATAGGAAGGGGCCTAGAGGCACAGTTGGTGGTGACAGCAGAAACCTGCTATCGGGAAGGGAGCTAGGAGAGCTGAACAAAGCTGCTGCACTGACTAAGGCTTAGGTCAGGCATCAGTGCAAAGGCCTGTCTTTTGAGAGGGCCAAAGAGGCCTTAGAGGCTTTCATAGCAACGAGACGGGTTTTCTTGCTTGAGTGGGCAAGAGGAGCTGTACGACACTGCAGAAGGGAGGCACATGCTCTCCGCTTGCAGACTCTGCCTGCATACTTCCTGATCCCGATCTTGAGCTGTAGCCTGTTACTCCTGATCCCAAGTTGTACGTTGGTTACACTTAATTAGAGGCAAGGCACATTGGCTCTGTGTGGCCACTACGAAGAAAAGTACAGTGCTGTTTGTGTGTGCTGGGGGCTGGGGGGCAGCCAGGGGGAGAGAGTTGGTACGAGAGATGGTGATAGAGAATTTTGAGTGGGGGTATTTTCTAACCTTCACCTAACAGCTATAGCTTTGCACTGATAGTGATTCTCTACCCTCATCCTGAGGTGAAAGGACTTGGGGTGTTACCGGAACACTGAGAGAGGAAATAAATATGGCAGTAGGGAAAAAAAAAATCTACTGAAACAAAGGTAACAAAGACAGTGATCAAATACCCTGACACCTACTATCAGAAGAGGCAGAAGGTCACCAATCTGTCCAAACTCCCACAAATACAGCAGAATCTTACATGGAGAGAGAAATAGTAATGCTGTTTCTGTAGCCTCAGGCAGCCGCCACTCACAACAATGCTCTAACTAGCATGGGGTCTCTGAGGCCCAGCCCCGTGTCAGCTTTTGTTCACTCACCTGACAAGCTTGGAATATTGATTCCATCTATTATACTCCATGGGGGCTCTCCTCTTTCCAGCCTGGAAACTGCATCTGGTTTGGCAACTTGATACCCTGTTCATGGAAAATGACATTAGACTTTCAATAAATAAATAAGCCTGTAGTATTAAATAAAAAATAACGACGCAGAGGGAAGTGGGGGGCCAGCCTCCACCGCTAATACTCCTATTACTACTACTCGGGTTCAGTAATGCACAATTGTACGGTTGTGATATATAAGTATTATATTAAAGTCATCGAGAGCATGAGAGATAATACAATAATACAGTCAGGCATGTTACATAG